AAGATTAAAGGTGATTCACAGAGCTGGCTCTAGTTCTTTGTGGGAGAAGACTAGAAAGATAAGGGCATGGATACTGACAATTACTACAGATGTATATTAAACAGCCACTTTCTAAGTTCCGTATTTTTACTTATATTTTCAATCTCCCTGTCTCAATATGTTATACTCTGCACATCTTCTTTGCATTCCAGTTAAAAATATCAATGTCAAACTACAGTATACTTTAAAATCAACATTTAATACATCATTTGAGTTATTGTTTTTGACATTTTTATCTCCTAAATTTCTATTCATGTCTTATTCAAATTCTCTTAAATTCTTGACCATTTCTTGGTGCCTGCTTACTTTTGTGAGATTGTCTTTTATCTATTAAACTTTGCACATACAGTTACTTTTACCCTATGCCTATTATTTTTAGTATCTTCAGAGTCTTTGGAGTCCTTTTATTTGTTGCTTATTGCTTCTGTTGATTGTTATGGTATTTACCTCCTTATTCATTTGGGAACTTTTATCTGTGAGCTTGTACATATGGGATTTCTGCCTGTATGAAATGGAGCAGCTGTTCTACAGATGGCATTTGTTTGTGCCTCTGCTGAGAACCAGCTGTGACTTCCCAGGGACTACTTTCAGCATCCTTCAGAATCTTGAGGAAGGTCTCAAGTTCACCTTTCCTAGATGGCTGTGATCCCAAGGATCTACCATTTCATGTTTTGATTATTTGATTATTGTTTGCCTGTGTATGTGCTTGTGTCTAAATTACTGGAAAGGTATTTGTCCTTATAGTAATCCCATCATTCTTATCTGATTGCGCCATCACCTGCAATCCTGACTTTGGACATTTTTTGGAGGGCCATATGGGGAACTCTTTTAAGATTCCCCACACTTCTGTAAGCCAAAATAGTATGAACTAAATTTATTAGTACCTCTTTTTTATTATAATATTAATTATAGAATTATGATTATAACAGTAATCAGAGAAAGGTTCTCTGATTAGTCATTTTCAATTTGTTATCTATGGTTCTGTGTTTTGCATATTACATTTATAATACATTAGAGGATCAACTAAAGAAAGAATTGGGCAAAGTAGAATCAGAACCTCCTTGAAGGATATGGATTGAAGTCATCGCTCTTCTTCTTTTTAATGAAGTACAACGTTGTTGGAACATTTAAGTCCTCTTGAGGTAGATATTCTGAAGTTATCTGGCCAAAAAAGATAGCATGAAGGAGAAGGAAATTTGAATGGGTGACCTGTGCTCATCAATAAGGTAGGGGAGTATAGAGAAAGTATGGAACTATTGCTAAGTCTCTGGACACTTTAGAAAAATGACTGTGTGCTTGTTGGGGCCAGGGTGAGAGACCCCACTAAGGTGCAGGTATCATTGGCAGCCGAAGCCCACAGTGTAAATGAATTACAAATAAACATAACAGTGAAGAAGGAGTTTTCTTCTGTTTCTCCTTTACACCTTGAAACACTACTGTTGGAACAGTGGCATGTGTTGTTTAATCCAGCAGGGCAACAAGTATCGGATCCTCAGAGGGATCAGCAATGGGGCACCAACCTCAGTAAAGTAGATGATAATGGGGGACATGCCCGGCCAGGGGACTGCTTAGTTTATGTAGCAGGTAATGATTGTAACTGGAACTACTGACACCTTGGACTGGGTAAAGCACCAAAGGCTCATGAGCTGATAACCAAAAAACCAGGTGGCTGAATAAGGAAAAGAACTTTCTCTCAGTGGGGTGATGAGGACACATCATTTGAATTGATATACAAAAGTGTTTATACTGGTTACAGATGTTTGCATTAGGGCGTACAGTTTGGCACAGAATGTGGTCACAACTTTACAAACCAAATTTTTAAAACTATGTAGAAGAAAAAATTACCAGAAATTCACCAGAATGTTACAGTATTTGATGCTAGGCAATGGGACTGTATGCACTTTCTTGTTCCATTTTCTTTTCAACTTCAAAATAGCTCTATAATCAATGTGAATAACTTACAATGGGAAAAATTGTAAATTTTTGAGAGCAGCAATGCCATTTAGAATCAGTATTTTAATGACTAAGTTTTCTGAGAAAAAGTTAATCCTCAAATGTTAATGACATGTACATTGTAATGCTTATGCATTATGCATACCACAAAGAAAATATTCTGAAAGCAAAATATGAGAACTTTGATGATATGATTGCTTGCCAAATTTTGCAGCACACTATCTTTACACAGGTAAAGTAGCATATACACTTTAATCAGTATCTTCACAGAAAATGGCACTATTTAGGCAAAAGTTGACCATTCTTGAAAAAACAAGTTATTTTTAATAAAGGTTTGTTATATTTTATGGAACTATCATGACATCAAAATATTGTCCTTTGGGCTCAGTCTTTATGAGTCCCCTCCAGAATGGGGGCTTTTCTTCTCTGCTTAATAAACCTCTGTTATTATGCTCAAAAAAAAATATTGTTCTATTGGGATCCTGATCAAATAGCATTCATTTCCATACAACACTAGTTGTCAGACTTTGCTAACAGCACACATAAAGGGTATAGTTTAGTTAAATTGTTTAGTTAAACATGTTAAGACAAAGGTGTATCATGAGATTATTGAATTTGAATATGAGTTGTGCCTATTATCATATTAAATTCTAAGTTTGATCTTTATATCATTCACAAATATTTTTAAGTGAGAGAAAAGCAAACTGAAAGTGTTTAAGCAAAAACAGAATTCTTTGGTCTATATAAATAGAAAATCTAGGGAATAAATCTATCCTTGTGTTTTTGCTTAAACATGAAGAACTGAGTCTCTCTTCCATGAATTCCATCCTTTACCATGCTTGTCTCTTGTGCTGGCAGTATGGCTGCACTGTGTCTTCATAGATCCAACTTTGATGGAAAACAGAAAAGTGCTTTGCCCTGTGCATGTGCATAAAAGCCTAGGACTTGCGTATCATTCTGAATCTTTCACAAACCCCTAGCTGAATATTTCACTGGAACCAGAAGGAAGATACAGAGCAGATTAGCCTAGGTTATTCTATGAGAGCAGATCTCCCAAATACCAAAGGGTTCTAACAACAGTCTTTCTGTCTCACAATTCCCTATGTCCATCAAATAGGCTGCTTCTCATGTGTTCTTGCTCTAGGGCTATAGCAGACGTGGCAAACCACTACCTGGTTGCTATAACGGTAGCAGAAGAGAGAACTTTGGATGAAATGCATCTCCTCAAAGTGACTCATCTTTCTTTCATTCACAATTCATTAATCAGATCTAGTCACATGGCCCCACTCAAGCCTAGGGGCAGAGCATGCAAACCCAACATGTACTTAGAACAAGGAGATACAGGATATTTCGGTGAACAGCACTCATTAATAACAAATACACTATTTGGTTTAACATATTCTCTTCTGGATCTGGGGTAGGGACTGCCCCATCACACTTGGGAATCTGTAGGTTGCCACAGAAAATTTAGACAATTGGTAAAAAAAAAGTGAACAGTTGCTACCAGAAAAAAAAATCAACATTATAATTAAGTCAATTTCTGGAAAATGACCAAGATTCTGATTCAGTATGAGTGTATCTTTCTGTGTGCATAAATTATTAACTTCCAAAGATTAAAAAATTTACCTTTTCTGTGGCTATAAAGCAACAGCCAAACCTAAATATTTCCCCCCCACTCTTGATTTTAATTTGACTGATCCCCTGAAATAACCAATCAGACTTTTCTGTATAAATATTTCAACTCTGGTTCAATTCTTAGTCTTTGGGTCACAGAACAGCTCAATCAGTGAAACTGATGTGGTTTTAAGCCTGTGACTCTAGTTCCGTTCACAAAAAAAGGAAGTGGGAGTCACACTAGTGTCTTCATATTTATCTCCATGCTAGAGTTGTCCTATCCCCTTGTGACTTCATCATGATTTTCCCTCCAAAATGTTCAGCATTAAGGATTTTTTTCCCTTTAGTTGTGAAGAACAGATATCAAGTTAAATGACTTAAAATAAAACTTATCATAAAACCAGAATAGTTAATCTCTGTTTTTCCATCCTGAAAATTCCATGGATTCTTTCATCTTAATTTTTCTTTTATCTTTTTTTGTTCCTGAATAATGTTGCTATTTATTAATTTTTAAAGTCCAGGACACCTCAGCCAAAGGAAAGTGACAAGTGACAATCGCTGGACCTATTGTATCGTCAAATTTCAAAGAAAGAGAATCAAATTGGCTACCCATTGGAAATAAGTTTACCATTAGTCAAATCACGTGTGGCTGGTGAAAAGTATTACATGGCACTCATAAGAGCCTCTCTTGGGGCCTCTGGCTGGGCAGGTTATATAAGAAGGAAAACTATGTAAGAAAGCTAATTGACTATGCCTGCAACTGTAACTGCTTTTCAAGTATTAATTCATTTATTCCTATGATGTAGTAATACACCATTATTATTATTATACTGTAGACAAGAAATTGAGGTACACAGAAGTTCAATAACTTGCCCATGGTTATGTGCTATTAATAAGAGGTAGACCATACAGGAGGTGAAATTGGGCAGTTTTGCATCAGAGTTTGTGGTCCTATCTATCATGATGTACAACCACCTTCACTGTCCTAAATAAAGTATTTGGATTTCCATCGGTGAATTCATTTTCTTTTTAAATGTTTCCTTAAACCTCTTTTTATCAGTTGTAAAATGTTTCTCATTCTCCAAGTGTTATCTTTAATATCAGCATTTTTACTTTATAAGCTTCCCTGAACACTTGGCTTCTGCTCCTAAGTCACCCTCCGCTTCCTACACAGATCACCTTGTACTATAATCAGGTCATACTGCGATACCAAGCATGTTCATCTGAAGGCAACAGCAATTTCTTATCTTTTCACTCCTGAACCTGGAATAATTGCTTGCACATAGCATATCAATAATTGTTACTGTGCTAGCCCCTTAATGAAAAGTGGATGCATTAAATATGGTTTATGCTACATAAATTTTACCAATTTCTCTTCCATTACCATGATGTAGGACCAAAAGTGCTTCCATAAGAAAACCTGGGAACAATGCCTGTGAAGCTTTCAGATTACTGGGAATCAGAAGCCAAGACAGTGGTTGGTTTGGGCTTGATGATGTTATGGTGAGAACTACTCAGAGTGGCTTGATATCGTTTGAATTATATGAACATTTAGAGAGGTAAGACAATAGCAATAAGAGTTGGTGGTACATAATTGATGTTGAGAAATTGATTCAGAGAATTAGATTTTATTCCTCAAATAGGAATATCAACACTTTTAGAGCATACTTAAAATGTACACCACAATCGATGTGAATATGCTGTTTGTAATTTTGCTCATGATAGTTTAACATGTGCTTTTAGAAACCACTCCTAACTTAGATTTATTTTTGAATATTTTTTCCAACTCCAAAATAGTATTGAAATAGCACTTTCTTTTCTGGAATTCCAAAGGGATAGTAATTAGCTGTTCATATTATACTCATATCATAACTATGTATATATAAACTGAGTTTGTAATTTCAGTACTCTCATTTTGCTTTCTTATTTCCATGTTTTCTAGACAGCCCATTATGAACAGAGTTTTAGACAGCTCTAAGGTTCATGAAGAGTAGACACTAATGAAGAGAGGCAATCGTATGTCAAAAGATAGTTTTTCCTTTGCAACGAAGCCCTCACCTCTATGATTATCCTGGATCAAGTTCTACAGAAAGAAGATGAGAATGCAAGTGACTTATTAAGGGAAGCTTCTCAGGTGGAATGAAAAAGCAGATAGAGCCAGGGAAGAAGACAGGAAAACTCTAGTTTTAGCTGAAGTCTTTCCTCAGCCTGGTACCCTGGGGGAGCTCTGGAGAATCAGGGAAGGTGGCTTCACACCTTCACATCAGTCAGTCCTTGTTTGTGGGAGAAAGCCTTCTGTAGGACAACTTTCTGGAGAAGAACTGAGGGATGTCTGAACCAACTGGGGGTACAGTCTGTATTAGTTTTCTGAGACTGCTATAACAAAATACCACAAACTGTGTGGTTTGAACAGAAATATAAGGTCACACTTTTAGAGGCTGGAAACCCCAAATCAGATGATAATAAGGTTTGTTTCCTTTGGGTACTGTAAGGAAAGAATATCTGTTATAGTTATCTCCTTGGCTAATAGATGGCCATTTCATGTTCACATGGCATTCTATTGGAATGCATTCCTCTGGGTTGAAATATCCCCTTTTTATGATACCAATCATATTCGATTAGGGCCCACCCTAATGACTTTGCCTTAATTTGATTATCACTGTAAAGACTATCTCCATAAAAGGTTACATTCTGAAGTATTGGGGATTTGTATTGCAGGAATATGAATTCAGGTATAGAGGTACAGTAGAACCCACAGCAGGATCCATCATAAGAAATTTTACCATGCAGAGATGGAGATGAACATTTCAGTTCCAGCTTAATTATGCTACATGTTCTGAATCCATCCTATTGGGTGCAAATGGATGATCTTGAATACCTTTCTTTTGTATATTTTGAAGTAATATTTGGTAATGCTACTTACAATACAGTCATACTCTGTGTAGTGATGGCTGTGTAGTGATAACAAGAATTGCAAAGTTAGGCAATTGCATTGTTGTGTGAATATCACAGTGTACTTACACAGACCTGGATGGTATCACTTACTGCATGCCTAAGACTGTGTGGTGCAGCTTATGCTCCTCACCTGCAAGCATATACACCATGTTCCCATATGGTAGGTAATTGAACTAAATGGTATTTTTGTATCTAACATAGAAAAGCTACAGTAAAAAAATATGATATAAAAGATTTTTTTAAAATGTATCTATATAGGATATTTCCCATGGATGGTGCTTCCAGGATAGGACATTGCTCTGGGTTAGTCACTGAGCACTGAGGGAATGTGAAGGCTTAGAACATTCCTGTGCATGACTGTGGACTTCAGACATACTGTACACAAGCTACACTAACTTTATAAAAATATTTTTCTTCAGAGAGAAAGTAACCTTGCTAACTATAACTTTTTACTTTGTAGACTTTAAAAATGTCTTTAAACTTTTCACATTATAATCACACTCAGGCTAAAATGAGGGCTGTACAAAAATATTTCCTTTATATCCTCATTTTCTAAGCTTTTTCCAGTTGAAATTTATTTTATTACTTAAATTTTATTGTTGTTAAAAACTTATAAAAACACACACACATACACAGACACCCACACACACGTGTGCCTGGGTGTACAGAGTCAGGATCATTGAAATCACCATCTTCTGCCCTCACATTGCGTCCCACAAGAAGGTCATCAGGTACAATAACACACATGGAGCTGTACCTCCTAGGATAACAATGCCTTATTCTGGAACACTTTCTGAGGACCTGCCTAGGACTATTTTACAGTTAATTTTGTTTTATTTAAATTAATAGAAGTACACTCTTAAGTAATGATAAAAAGTGTTTTGCAGTAACACAGTTGTTTATATTATCATTATCAAGTATAGTGCAGCTGGCAGCATCACCACAAACACTTGAGTGATGTTGCACTGTAGCTATGGAAGCTATGGCATCACTGGGTGGCAGGATTTTTCAGCTCCTTTATAATCTTGTGGGACCACTACAGCATGGGTGGGCTGCTAAGTTCTTATGTGGCACATGAGTGTAGTATATAAAATGTGCTGATGCTTTTAGAGACAAGCTGAGACTGTATGATTACTTTGTTTTAGAATTTATCTTGATTTGAACTGGTTTCTTGAGTGCCAGGAGTGACTCTAAAGTCATTCATGAATTAACCAGTTAGTCATCAGAATACTTGCTTTAAAAGAAAGTATTTTGGCTTTTTCCTGGGACATTACTGGCTATCAGTGGTTGTTTTGAGGTTGTGCGTTCCCTCAGATCTTGCCTCTTTCCTTCTACACAGGTTTATTGTGCTCTACCTCTCTCCCATTGTGGACAATAGCCCCCTGGTTTCTTTTGTGAAGTCTTTAGAGGAAGCCTTACTCAGCACTACTGCCTGTGTAGTACTGTCACACCAGAAGGATAATCCACACAAAGTAGTTATTTTGGTGGTGTCTTGTAAAGATTTAAGCCAGGCACTTAGGAGCTTGCCCTTGGAAGGATTCGGAGGACTTGTGGAGACATCTCATCAGTTCCAAGTAAGAGAAGGAGAGCAACTGCTTTTAAGGTTTACTGGAAATATATTTGGTTCAAGTAAGTATGAAGAAATCTTTGTCATATATTCTATGAGTTATACGCCACAAACTTCAGAAGGAGTTCCCTAAACCTTTTTACTGAGGAAAATTTCCCCTTAGAGAACTGAGAGGAGTAATTAGGAAGAAGGAAAAGAAAAAGACATTCTTACTCCTTCCTTTCCAGTGTCTTTTGTCTGTACTTAGATACATGTTCTTTTATGGACAGATTGTGAATGACATATGTTTTAAAGAATGATCCTCTCTATGATTGCTCCTGAGTTAAGCTAGGGTAATCTCTTTCCTGTAATGATGCAATAATCCTGTTAGTGTCCCCTGGTTCCACTCTTAGCCACATAAATATATTTCCACATGGTAAAGAGTGACCTGTTAAAAGCAGATGGTTCCTGATTCATGAGTTTCAAATGCAAGTTTTTGGCTTTATGATGGTAAGAAAGACGTATGCATTCAATGAAATGATACTTTGAATTTCAACCTATTCCTGGGCTAGCATTTTGAGGTATGATACTTTCTTATGATGTTGGGTAGTGGCAGTGAGTCACAGCTACTAATCAGCCATGCAGTAATGCCATGCAGTATGCTGGGTTGCTATGCTATGATGTTGGGTACATTGAGTGTACTGAATGCATTTTTCACATCATATTTCAATTTGTGATGGGTTCCAGCAGCATCTATATGTTACTCTTCTGATTAAAATCTTATTGCTATCCTCTATTGTACCTAAAATAATATCTGAACTATTTAACATGTCTTACAAAAAATTTGACCTGGTGTCAGTAGATTCTCAACAGATGTGTGGATAGAACTATATTCCATGTAATTGACTCATTTTTAATTCCATGTATTTTATTTTATATATTTAAAAGACTACTCTTACAAATGGTCAGGTTTTGGCTGGGCATGATGACTCATACGTGTAATCCCAGGTACTTGAGAGTTGAAGGATCATAGTTAGAGGTCAATCCCAGCAAAAAGTTAGCAAAACTTCATGTCAACAAACAAGCTTAGGCATGGGGGTACATGCCTGTATTTCAGCTATTCAGGAGGTAAAGGTAGGAAGATTGTGACCCAAGGGTGTCCCAAGCAAAAAGTGTGAGACCTCTAGAGAAAAGGTTAGTTCAAGAAGAATTAATTTAGAAACTAACACATAAGTACAGAAAAGCAATGCGAGTAAACTCCCTGTATAGCTATCCTTATCTCAACTAGCAAAAACCCTTGGTCCTTCCTATTATTGCTTATACTCTCTCTTTAACAAAATTAGAGATAAGGGCAAAATAGTTTCTGCCTGGTAGAGATGGGGTAGGGGGTAGAGGGAGGAGACGGGGAAAATGGGGGGGTGGAGAAATGACCCAAACATTGTATGCACATATGAATAAAAGAAATTAAAAAAAAAAGTGTGACACCTTATCCAAAAAGATAAGCTAAGGAAAAAGGGCTGAAAGTGTGCCTCAAGAGGTAGAGTCTTAGAGTTCAAGCCTCAGAACTGTCCCATCCCACCTGCTTAAAAAAAGAAAGAAATGAAAGAAAAAAGTAAAAGAAAGGTCGGTTTTTAACAAACTCCATAGTACAAAAAAAAGGCTTAAGAACCTCAGATTCAGATGACAAACACTGCTTAACTTTCATTGCCATATTTCTGTAGTGTTTTCTTTGTTCCCATGATAAATCTTACTACAGTTAAAATTATTGCATTGATTTGTAGGTTTACTTTTTGTTCCTATACTCATGTAACATTCTTCACCAGAGTGAAGTGAAGTCCATGTCTTGTCTGATATCCTCTGAACCTAACACAGGGCCTGGATTTTAATAAGGTATGATGAGTGACTGAATACATGTAATGCTGAGGAAATTAAGCAGGGGGATGATGCATGAGAAGTGGCAGGAGACGTGGGAGAAATGAGATGTAGATGAGATGGAAGAGAGACAAGAAAAGAGTTCATAAGAAAAGAAGGGAAAAGTAGCAAAAGAGTTAGGTGGAAGAAGAGAGCAAAGGGTCTTTGGAGGAGTTGCCATAAGGGCATTTCATTCTCATTAAGTCAATTCCTTCCTCTCTTTAACTCCTTCCCTGGGGTAAGTAAAATTCAATAAGTATGGGTGTAAAGGTGGTGAGGGGGAGAATTAAGGCATATGTTTCAGGCCCAGGAGCCTTGGTGAGCACTTGACTTTATATATTTATAAAATAATTTGTATCCTATTGAATTTAATGGTGACTGTTTTCTTTCTGACATAGGAAATGGCTCCAAGTCCCAGCAGGTCTTTGTAGCTTAAAAAAGAAAATGAAAAATGGGACTTGAAGGCAATGCTGCCCTTTTCCTAATATCTCAGGAATAAGAGAGACTCAAAGTATCCCAATGGAAGTGCCTCTTCCACTCATACACAGGGTCTCAGCCGTCGGACAGGACTCAGTGAGTGACAAAGATGTCAGAGAAGGGGGAGGGAAGAGAGAGGAGGGTGAGGAAGGAAGGGTGAAAGAGATCCCTTCCTACTTGGCTTCTGGAGCAGAAAGCACTGTGTCCATCCTGGGGAAATCTTTCTAATCATAGAGAGTCAAAAACCAGAAGTGCCCCATCCAAAGTAACGCTATAAATGATTTTTCTGTAATACTTGAGACAGAAGCTGTGTTTACCTACTGCCCAAAACATGAGTGAGTTCCTGTTCTTCTCATAGGCAGTGGAACTTAGTGTACTACTGTCTGTCATGGAGAGCTGGGCATATGCTAAATGAAGAGTACCTGAAGATAGCTGGCTTGTGTGTGGAAGTCTTCCATGTAAGGGCTGGAGAAAGGCTCATCTTTACTCAAAGACAGTGAGTTAGGCAGGATTCTAGGTCCTTTCTGTTTACTTTTCCTATAGACCCATGCTCAGACCTGGAGCCTTACTAGATTCTTCTCTAAGAGGAAAAAGACCCTTAGTAAAGAACTGATACTTGTCAGAGTCTGGGGTAGTCTCTGTGACTCTCACAGAGAAGAAACCAGATGTTCTCTGATTGTAGGGTTCTCTTCCTTTTCCTTATGCATCACCTCACCCCCAGTTAGCTCTTCCTTTATCTTCAGATCTTGCATCAATAATCTCGTTCAAAGAAGCCTTTTCCTTACTCTTCCTGGCTATATGAGTTCTTATTTTCTCAGAGACTTATTTTACATTTACAGACCTTCACTTTTCTTTCGTGTCTCTTATTACAGATTCAGTTTTCTATTTACTCATTTAATTGTTTGATCAATACCAGTTTCTCTACCTACAGTCCTATGAAGGGAGGAACTGCAGGTAGGCAATATTCAATTCTGAGCACCTAGAATTGTGCCAGGCAGCAAGAAGGGTTTCAGTGAGTATTTGTTGGAAGAAATGGAGACAAAAGTTGTGAAAGGACTTACAATATTGTGATTTAAAATATTTAAACTCTAATTAATGAACTTAGATTACTGTCCTTTTTAAAATGCCCCAATCTCTCTATTCGTTTATATATAATGTAGATGACTCTTGAACAAGGTTCATGAAGCATGGACTCCGTTTCTGTTTCTAAGAGGAAATAACATCGATAGATGCTCTCCTGGGTCTTTATCCTACTTCTGGACATAGCTACAGCATGCTTTCATTCACTAGGTTAGACCTGTTAGTTTAGCACTTAGGCCTGCAGCAACATCACTCTCAAGTCCCCAGTGCACACAAATCCAGAACGTGGTGGGAAGTGCTTTTGCAAGATTTTTATATGATGACACCTTAGCATTGCATGTAACATCTAGTAATGCCTAGTGGAAACCAGTGTGTCTCAAAGTTTCCTTCAGCCCTAAGACACAGGGAGAGATTTCCCTAGATGTGTGAGTGGGATGCTAATGCAACCATTCTCTAAGTTATTCAACAAAAATTCCTTGCCCTTATGTATGCTATAGTCTAGCAGCAAGAGACAGAATGAGTAAATAAGTGAATAAAATATAGCTTAATACAAGGTGAAAATGCATTACAGAAGAATAAAGCAGGAAAAGGAAAAGGGCAGTCTCAGAGGAATGGCACAGTTACAATTTTGAATAGGGAAGCCTGATTGAGAAGGTAACATTTACACAAAGACTCCAAGAAGGTGAGAGAATAAGCCATAAGGGATCACAGGTGCAAGTGAACTGAGGAAGAAAGGTGCCTTGTGTATTTGAGGAAGAGCAGGGACTGGACGGCTGCATCAGAGGGATTGAGGAGAGGGTGTAGGAGATGAAGTGGGTATCCACCATCCCCTACAGATCATTGCAAGGACATTGTATTATGCTAATGAAGTGGGGAGTCACAGTTTCTAGCACAGGAGTCATCTGTTTTGAGTTTGACTATAACTCTGCTGAGAACAGACTATATATAAGGAAAGGGTAGAAGGAGAGAGGCCAATGAGCCATTGCAGTAAACAGAGTACACAATGACTGTGGCTTAGAAGCAGAGGAGGTAGAGAATGGGTTAGAAATACCCTGCCCCAGTGGTTCTCACAGGACTTCTCTGGTTCTTGTTGGTAGTCCTTTTGTTTCCTCTTCTCACTTTCCTAAGAGAGCGAATACATTCCTATGGTTGTACTCTCTGTGACCTCAAAGAAAATGTTCAATGCCCATTGTTGAGAAGAAAATATATTGCTATAACAAACATCTAATCACTCACAAACTATAAGTAAATCTTGGTTTTCCTTCTATGGCAAATATTTATTGAACAGCAGCTATCCCAAGTTTCTAGTAGGGACTATGTACCTTTTATGTTTAGAGAAGAAGAAAAAGAATCTGAAAAGGCCAACTAGTCATTCTTTTCATACTCTGAGCTTCTAATATATAACATTTTATTTTACTTCTACTTGAAAGTAGAAGTGGAGAAAAAAATAGAACACCATAATTTCTTTATACCATTTGTCCCTTTTTTTAGGGACCAAGGGTACACAAAATATAGTGTTATGTCTTAACAACAATGAAACTCCAACTAAGGATTGGTGGAGTGGCTCAAGTGATAGAGCACCGTGTGAGGCCCTGAATTCAAGCACCAGTACACCGCCCCCAAAAAAAAGAGAGAGAGAGAGAAAAGAAAAGAAAAACTCCAACTTTAAAAAAATTGCATAAAGCTTTCTGTTTATAACACTAAGATTATACTGCATATTAGTAGCAACTTCTCAATAATTTCATCTGTATTTCATATATAACTGTGACTCTTAGAGTTACATTATAGACCTTAATTTTTTTAAGTTGACTGGCAATAATGGTTTATAAGTTCTAGACCTGAATTGAATCAGTGTGACTATGGCGTGCCTTCAATCATTGTCTATTGCATGGAAACCATTCCTTAAGAATAACTGTGCCCCTGGCAGGGAGTACAGTGTATTTCAAGGGACAGAAGGAGAAATTTATGGAGTGATATTCAGTTGGGATCAAAGTGCAGTATTTCTTTTGATAATACTCTGGTGGTGGAAAGCAGAGGTCTGCCAAATGTTATTCCAGTGATCTCAAACTTTATTTAATTTGGTCACATTTTAATTGTCATATATATAACTTTTACTTACATATATATATTATATTTTTTATATTTGTTTTATATATAATGTACATTTAATATATATTACATGTATTTTATATATTTTTTTATTTAAAATTCTTTTAAGAAACAACTCTGGCTAGTCATTCCTCTTCTAGGAATCTACTTTGTTCAAGTAGCCAGGTGGCCTCTCAAATACAGACCTGTGTGAATGTATCTACTCTTATGGCTTCTACACCCTACAGTTACTCTATTTCTAGATTTATCTGTGCTTTAAAAGTTCTCCAAAATAACCTCTAGCAGTCACAACAGGCAGGACAGTGCTACTTTCTATATCTCTTACCAGGTAAATGAAAAGTTTTCCATGAGAGAGAACTGTGGGCAATCAACTTTACGATGTCTTACAGAAGGAGAAAAGAGTTTCAGCCTAGATACTAAAGCTTTTTCTTAACATTTCCTTAAAATATTTAGCTGGGTTGTTATTTAGAATAAAATAATAGAAGAATCTTGCTTTTTTTCTTATCATTTACTATCACTTATTTAGTGCTTAATATATATTAGATCCTGCGGCAATCATTTTATCCATATTTCATTTTTTATCCAGGACAATCCTAGGAGGTAAGTTTTATTCCTCCTGTTCTAAAGATAGGAAGATAAAGCTTTAAAAAGCTCCTAAGGGTGAAAGAACTGGACGAACATTACAATATAGAAAAATCATGCAGTCTACAGTTGAATCTAGATCCAAAATATGTTATCTTACTGGCTACATTATAGCTTCCTGTAAATTTTGTAAAGAGTAAACAGGCATTGTCTCAGGAAACAGTAATATCCCTTTCACTGTTGCAAAATATCCTGACTGTAATAGCAAAAACTGCATAGGTGAAAGGTTATGTTTATAAAAGCCTCTGTATTTTTAGTGAGAAGTTCAAAAGACTTTTCTATCTATCATTGTTTCAGGAGCACCCACCACATTTTCCTAGAAATTTCTGTGACACAAATCCAATTGTTGCTCTTGGAAGTTCTACAGCAGGACTGCTCATTTCTGCAATTGTGGAAATCTTTTATTTCTGTGCTGTTCAATAGGGTAACTGCCAGACATGTGGTTATTGAGCATTCTAAATGTGGTTAGAGTGACTGAGGAGTTGAATTTTTGTTGTTCTTTAATTTTATTTAGTTGTCATTTAAACTTAAATAGTCAAATATCGTAAGAGAGCACAGTACTACAATGTCTATTGTGAAGTCATGATGATGTGCAATGTGATATTTATAGTTAGGAGAAAGAGAAAAAGTTATGCTTGAAGGGTGAAGATAATTTGAAGAAATAGAAAACTGAAGATTTAGATCTAGAAGCTTCCAGAGAGCACCTGGCAAAATTACAGATGAGAAATTTTTCTAGTCATCTATAGTTGTTATTGCTGCTTTGTCATGTTATATTTTGACAAGAGGCAACAACACACAGAAAACGTTAATTATTTTTATTTATTTATTTAAAATGATTTTATTTTTGAATAATCATAAATTAATAATCTGAAGGGATTTTATTGCATATCATGTGCCCTGAACAAGTTCACCCCCTCCGTTACATTTCCATTCCTGCTCTTCCTCTTCTCTTGTTTTTCAGAGTTTGATGAATTTGATTACGCTGCTTCATATTAGTTGTATTTTTAAAATGAAATGATTATTTGGGTTTTTAGAAATTAAGGCAAAGTGATTTATGCTAATGGTAATAAACACATTTTTTTCTACTTAGGTAATGGGAAGGATTATGGAAAAGATTACAAACTTATTTTTCACTTGCAAAGAAAACCCAGACTGGAACTCCAAATCAAAGAGGTGGATGAATTTGGGAACTATAGCTGCCCTCATTATAAGGGCAGCATTGTAGTTTATAAAGTACCTAGAGAAAAGATAGTCCCCAACCTGGATCAATCTATACCTCATGAAAACCATTATCAGTTGCCAATTTGCAAATTACCATTGAGATTGCCAAAGGTGAGTGATTGTTCTTTCTTAATTACCATATTTTCTTAATTCTTTATAATTCCCTACCACAGTTAGTTCCGCGTGCTAAGGGATACATAACGTTAAGAGAAAAGATAATAATAAACCCAAGAAGAAGGAGTAGGGAGACCCAATTTTAAAGTGTCAGAATATACATTAGGATTTTTTCCTTATGCATATTAGTTTTCTAACTAGAGCGATCCAAATTGATCTGTTCCTCACGGTAAGTTGTTAATGACTATGAAAATAGTGTCATTCATTTTCCGTAACTGCATCTGAATAACTGAGATATCATTTATGAAAACACTGAATGCACTTCAAAGCATAAAACTAGGGAAAAATCATGGTGACATGAAAATGGCATCAGAATGCATTTACTAAGCCTCACCAAATCCTGTGTGCTTGTTTTATGAATTAATACTCTTATCTAATATTCTTATTCTTATCAGAAAGAAAGATTAAATTGTTTGTCCAACCAGGCCAAATACACACATAAATACATTTTGTTGCTGTATATATAATTTCTTTCCAGGACTTAGTAGTATATCTCTACTATGTTCTTTTTGAGAAATAAAACTGAAAAATTAATTTTATTTTTCTCTAGAACAAACTTCTTATCATTTAAAGAAAAATTATTTTTATAGTTTTAACTTCTATATCATGAATATCAGAAACATGTTTTCTATAGACAGATTTTGTATTTATTTTAAAGAAATCAGTAAAATAATAATTAACAAATATCATTTGAGCTTCTGAAATAGGGAATATGATATGCTAGGCATTATAATAAACACAGAGCCATAGAGGATTTGTCATGGCCTTAATCACATTGACAAGAATGGTAGGTGCAAACCACGTGTGGTTACCATCAAACACTTAAAATACAGCTAGACTGAAATGAGTTGTGTGTTGAAAGATACACATTAGATTTTTAAAACACAGAGGAAAAATGTATATAATTTAAGTAATGATTTACTTATTTTAATGACATGGTATAGTTATAGTATTTTGGTTACATCAGGTTAAATAAGATATTACTAAATTTAATTTCACTTGTTGCTTATCTTTATGTGATTACTAGAATGTTATATGTGTCACAGCTTATATTTTTATGGGGTGGTACTTCTCTAAGTGAATTTATAACCCAATGAAACATGACAAACGTGCTACGAAATTACATTACAAGACAGTAGTTGACTAGACTAATGATACAAACAACATACTAATGGTGTTCTGAGGAGGGAAATGGTCTTTCCAGAAGCTGAAGCCAACAAAAGTTTTGTGGTACCTATTGTATTTTATCTGGGCTCTGTAAGTTGGTAGAATTTTGGCCACTGAAAATCAAGAAAAAAGCAGGTTAGGGTGATTTGATTGCACCTTACCAGAAATCCATACTTCATGTAAAAACCATTGCAATTTCATTGATGTATTCATTTTGAGGGGGATTCATAGTGACAATTCCGATAGACTCATGTTGTATATTAATTACATTGTCCCCATCGTTCTCCCCCTCAACCCCGCATCCCACTTAAAGCAATTGCGAGAGGTTTCTTAGATCTGTTTCATATAGATATATGAACTCCATCTACCATATCCTGTCACCTTAATCTCCTTCCTTGACCCTCCCTCCTACTAGGACTCCCCCCACATATTTCTAATGTGCCAGAGTTCTTTTAAGTGCTTTATTTGCATTGTATCATAAATCCTCACAAAAAAAATTCAAGGAGGTATTGTCATTGTTCTTATTTTATAGGAAATTGACACCGAAAGACTTTAGGCAACTTTTCTAGGCCACATCTAAGTGGCAAAGGTAAACTTCAAACTCAGCAAATCTGCTTCCCATGTGTTAAACAACTGCTATGCCATTGCCTTCTTAGCAGATAAAGCTGCAGTCTTTAGTCAAGGACACAGGATAGAGGTGAGGGCTTCTAGATTTCTAATTTGTATGACAGTTCCATATATAGTGTATTTTACGTGTAGAGGTATTATTAGAAATATTTAGGGTATGATATACTATGGACACTTACCAATCAAATTGAAGGCAGCTTTCCTGCAGAGGCACAGATTTCCAGAGACATTACTCTTTACTTGCTAGTATGAGGGAGATGCTGGCTTTCCTGGGAGGCATGAGTAAGTTTGCAGGGTTTATTGAACTGCTGCTGAAAATTATGGTATAGCCGTAAGTGTACACCCACAATCAGTTTTGCTTCTCTGAATTTTCCTTTTTGCCTTAGGTCACTCTTCCTTCCAGTAGTCACATAGCTGGATCTTCTATTTTTGGGCAGAGATTTTGTAATTCATGCATGTATTTTATTTTTGACTGTTAAGAACTGTATATCTTGGGTGGGGTTATTGCTCAGTGGTAAGGTGCATGCTTTGCATGTGTGAGGCCCTAGGTGCAATCCCCAGCACTGAAAAAAGAATTATTAATATTTATGTATACAATATGGCATTTTGATATGTATGCACATTCATTGCCTTAAAAATTTATCATTTCAAAATAGCTAGAAGAGAAGATTTTGAATGTTCTTCAAGCTGTTTCTTTCTCATTCAGGACTTAGCTCACATGTTGTTATCTTTTTCCCAGCGTCACTTTTTAATCTATTACCCTCCTTAGATTTACTTCCTAACACTCATCTTTCATTTAAATGATTACATTTATTTATTTATTCATGTACTTTTGTTTTTTGCCTTTGCACCTTGAGAAAGCAAAGTCCATTAGTGAAGGACCTGATATACCCTGTCCAGGCTCTATCTTTTGTGATAAGACCAGTGCCTGGCACTGTCCCCTAAATACATGTGACAGGATGAATGAGAAGAGGTCTAAGCCTCCATTACCTTCCATTAGTTTAAGAACTATTGACTAAAAGGAATACTTGAATGTTCTCAGATAAGTAATTTGGAGGCTGGTTGTACAGACTGTTAACTGTCAAACTAAGGAACTGACTTGGATGGACATGAAGATTTGGAGTATAGAAGCTGGCAGCGGGGCTGTTCTCTAGACAGCTTAATTGAGCACATCTCTTCCAGAGATCTCTATGTTGTTCTTCGGCAATGGCATGATTAGAGGGAGACAAGTCAGCAGACTGCTGAAATTCCCTAGTAAGGGTCAGGGCCTTGCTGTGATGATGGTGAACAATAGAAAGAAAGGCCTTCGTGTAAGAGAAAACCAACCTGAAGTCCAAAAATGTGTCACAAATTCAGCCTTCAAGTATTTGTGTTTTCCCTGTGGCCAATCTGACATCATGAATTCATTAACTGCCTTAGTCAAGTTGGATAATTTAGGAGATTATATAGATTTCCCTCAATGAAAGTCTGTATTAGTTATTGCCAATGACTTTTCATAGGATTTTCTCTACTCTGACTCTAGCACAACACTTCCCATTGGCTTGCTTGGATAATTCCTACTGGCCATTTTTTACATTTATGCCTAAGTGTGAACTCTCCCAGGAAGCAGTCTTCATTGACTTCTGTGTATATCCAGAGCATTCCATACTTCCTCATTGTAGTAACAATCATTGTAGTTACTATACTTAATTATAATCACTTGCTTGTTGACTTGCCTGAGAGTCTTCCTAGTGACCCCTCCCCATAAAAATTTAATGCCACAGATATTTTGTGTGTCTATGTACTTAATTTATTTCTATGTTTTTAACTTAAGAGAGTAAATTTCCCTTTTCTTTCCTTTTCCCTTTTTTACATTAGTCTCATCCAGAACAAATCACTCCTTAAGGGTGTTTTTTCCCTAGCTGAGCACAGACAGTGCTCAACTTGGCATTGCAGTGCCACGCAGATAGTACGTGCTTGAGGGATAGTTTGAATGACCACATGAATGAGGAAATTTCTGCAAGCCTTAAAATTATACGGCCTTGCAACTGATAATCTTGAAACTACATTGCCTTGTTTAAAGACAGGACATTTAAAACATCTGCTCCTTTTCGTAGACGAATCAACTGCCAATGTGCCCATCTGTACTTTCCTTCTCTCCCAGTTTGGTTTGCACAGGGCTTTCCAGGTTCATACTCTGAGCCCTTCTCATGCCCAAAGCCTCCACAAAGAAATTCCTCAGGGTTGAGAAAGAATCTGTGGGTGAGGAAACTCTTCTTCTGTTTTATAACTAGCATACGTAAATGAGAAATGAAACCATGACCTTTCTTTTTGTGAGAACAGACTTCTATAAAGCTCAGAATTGAAAAATTCCACCTCAGCTGAGCAGTGTAATAATGTGCTGTTTTTCAGGAAATGCAAGTAGCCTAATATGTAGCTTGCTATGAATGAACACAGCAATACTCATGCATTTATCCATGTAGCAGATTAAGGGAAGGTATTTGTCAAAATTGAAAGTTGTTTACACACAAAAGATAAACAGTAAATAGTTTTGAAGTATAAGTGCTATTGCTTAATTTTTCATAAATACCGTTCTTTAATTTTTCAGTAAATAGGAAGGGATATGAAAATGTTAAATGTTACTTAGAGTAAATTCAGTTCAAACTCTTTTTTCCTAAATAATTCTACTTGAAGGAGAGACTTGGATTTAACTTTCACTTTAAAGCAGAGCAATCTGTTTAACTTGGGATGGGTCTGGAGAGCTGGTGAGATAGTTTACAGGTCTTGTATCTTTATGCTGAAAACTAAGAAAACTTGAGGAACAAATATTTCAAAGATATTGTGAGTTATGGGAATAAATATTTACTATGCAAAGTATATATAGACACACGCATTACACACAAATATAAAGTGTAATGTTAATATTCTATGCCTAATTCCCAAAAGATATTAAGATACTTTTTACTTCTTGCTTGTGAGGATCTCTATGTCCCATTTCCTTCATATTTCCATATTTCATTCATTCTTGCATTGATTCAGTCAACACTTATTGCATCCCAAGGGCCCGAATACAGTGGTGCAGGTATATCACTCCCTCATCTCTCTGTAGTCTGACTTCTACTCAGAAGGTAGTTATCCTTAAAGCCATCCATCAAACAACTCAC